ACTCGATCTTTTGACCATATGGAAACCAGGCTTTATAGTACTTAATCAACAACAGAGGGGACATTTTTTGGGACACCCTATACATGTGCCTGTGGGTTTATACACACCCCAAGCCCAGGGGTATTCAAAAAAGAAACACTGGTTGCAGTTCAAATTAACCCTTGATAAAATATTTTTCTTCCTGGCAGCAGGCTTCCCAGACCAAAAATTTCCAGCCATTTTTTTTATAAATTTGAATTTTGGTTGTAATTCAATAACAGCGTCGTGTATTTCAATTATTCACTAAAGGCGAGGTGATTAGTTGGGGGAGTATTCACCGAGAGGAAGATTTGACCAATCGACATGTAGTATTTGTTATGTTCACTTGTGCAAAAATACTAAACTACCTTACTAATTAGTCATATACTACCTCAATAATAAGAAAAATATAGGTTTACTAGAATTAGGGACATGAAGGAATTCTATGAAACAATATTTGAATTTTGTTTTCAGATTGTAAATCTGAATTTATATCAGTATTCATGCACTATTCATGCACTATTCAATAATAGTAGTACGCCCTTGTTTTCCACATGTATCATAATCATGATAACAGACCGTCTTATATAGCACTGCCACATGATACAAATTTTTATGTTATGATTGTTGTATTTATGCTCTAATTGTGATGTTTGCTACTTTAAGTACCCAGGGCTTCTGCGCTTATTGCTCTCAGAGAGCAATAAGCACACGCCGCAGAAGCCCTGGGTACGAGGTTGTGCTGATTTTTGAAATTTCTCGAGCTTCATTCTTGATATCTTGCTTTTCCTTAAAAATTTCCTGTGAAATTAAAAAAATTTCCTGGCATCATGCTGCCGGACTTTCTCAGGCGCGGATCCAGCCTAAACCCTGACCGTGGCGCACTCCAAAACCGAGCATAATTAGGGGGGTCCGGGTGCATCCCCCCCCCGGAAAAATTTTGAAATTTGAACCCCGGAAATGCCATTTCCTGAGTTCTGAGCATCGAATTCTATCATATAATTCGTCATTAATTACGCCATATTTTAGACAGCAAATAACGAAACGCACAAAATAAGTCAAATATTTAAACAACATACCATGTTCTTCAGCGAACGTTACAACATTAGAATGTCACAAAATCACTGTACTTACATAAAACCACAATTCTGTACCGCACGTACTGTTCCTGTGTATTTCAGGTTCTTCGTAGCAAAAAATATCCAATTCGGACTCTACATCGAACTCAATCATCTTGGCGTTTCAGTTGCAACGTAGGTCTTTTACGGGGTGGGTTTTTTCAGCCGCACATCGATACCAAGTGTCTTATTCTCGATCATTCGCTTAAACTGTGTAGCACGGAGAGTTGCCGTTGTGTGAACATTGGATTTTTCACCATGCTGACATAGTTTCTGGACAGCAGAAGCACTTGGAGGAAGAGCACTGGTCATCAATCGTTGGAGCTCGCTTGCATTATGCGTGCTTTCACTGCCAAAAAAAAACACAAGTGACGCAAAAACCACCGTTTGCCACAGCAGAGTAAGCCAACCATGGAAATCGTGATAACCATGCCAACCGGAAATGTCTACCAATATTTTCGTGTCAGAACCAGGTTTCCAATGGCAATGATTGCACAGAATTTCGTACTTTTTGAATCAGGAAGACTGGACACCAGATTTACGTAGTTTAGATATCATCTGGCCACGAATTGGTGGAAGTTCGTTGTGTTTTGGTGTTATATTTTTCTGAAGTAGGACCAGTGTTGGGAGTTACAGATGAAATTCCTTTACTAGTGCTGGGAAATTTGATTTCACTGTCTACAGTTTCTTGTGTGTTGCACGCTCGTTTCACAAGAAGCGCATCTATCTAAGCTAATTTGTTTTCTTTTTGGACCAGTCGTCTGCTTTTTAGTAAATGTAGTCACTTGTGTAGAGGAAGGAGCAGAAAAATCTTTAGTAGAAACTTTAGGAGGAACTTTAGGATGAACTGGCATCGCAGACTTCAATAAGGTTGGAAGGTGTGCTTTAAAATAATGGTCTCGTGGCGGAAATGCCTTAACTGGTTTGCACAAGGTAATAAAATGATTTTTGGTAGATAGAATTCTTCGATCAACCAAATAAGACGGTGGCATCGCAGCACAATGAAAGATATGGACATATTCAATTGCACTGCCATCAAGATAATCCCGTGGATATACTGTATTGTACAATTGAATCCAAGGAATCCCAATGTTCTTTCGCTACAGTATCATTGGTGAGTGGGTAGAATGACTGAATGGCACACTGAATTACTGTGGACAAGGCAAACATGCACACCATGGATGAGAATGTGTAATCCTTGCAGCTTCCTTTGCTTCTTCTAAAACTGCTGCATTTCATTACAATTCTCGAAAAAAGTAAGAGCTGCATCAGATACACACATGGCAAAGGCATTTTTAAGTGTAGTGAACGCTATTACGTTTATATGCTGGGACTCAATGAAGGAGTGGTTAGCATAGTATTTGGCATTCTCAAACAGTTCAATATTGGTGAGGCATCTCAAGTGAGCAGACAAACTCTCATTCCCGATTAACGCAATAGAACATGCATTAAAGAGACAATGAAGTACTGAAAGAATTTAAGCATTTAAGTATCAATGGTTATTTTATATTATTTTGTAAATATTCAATTGAAACTTTTAACCAGAATGTCAACTTCTTTACACCACACAGTAATTATGTGATTATACTTTGCAAACTTCGCTCAAATTATCTGGAGAACAAATGTTATGCCTTGCCATTTGAGAAATAGCAAGGAACCATTTGTTTTCCCAAATGTTTTCCCTCCTTTTGCTTGTATAATCATGGGTCACGTTTCATATAACTTTGTGCCGAAAGGATAATTACTAGAATTAGTCAGGGTAACCAATAGAACTAGAGTTGGTTTTAAGGTAAGGACTGGAGATTACATTTTGGGATCATTAATATGGAGATTGAGCCATAATCATAATTATTTTAACAATGAGGCCCCCTACAATGTCTTTGTGTAATTTGAGTAACATCATGATGACATCAAATTCACAGCTGGCCTTGACTAATTCATGGGATTTTGTTGCAGTTTTAGATTCGGGATTAGGTTTTAATGTCAGGATTAGGATCGGGATGACATCATCCACAACATCAATATTCATGCACAACAAACACCTGTGAGGTAGTCACCCTCCAGGGTTCAGTTGTTAAAAATATTTGCTGTGTTGGTGTAATGTACTCTGGTGAATAAGATGCTTGTGTGATGTTATTAGAAAAGTATGTTAGGGTTAGTAATCCAAGTGAGAATATATACATGTTAAGACCTAACCAGGAACGACTGCACAAAATGCAGCACAAGGTCCTCTGGTAGGAAATGAACCTACGGCCCTCCGATTCCTACCAGAGGACCTTGTGCTGCATTTTTCGCAGTTGTTCCTGGTTAGGTCTTAAAATGTATATATTCTCACTTGGATTACTAACCCTAACATTCTAATATTAATTCCACCAAGTGAAGTGCAAGAATCCATATTGTGTGATGTTACTCTGACTGTATATCCACACCGGGCAGGCCTGAAAAATATGCCTGGCCACGGTAGGATTCGAACCTATGACCTTTGGCAAAGGCATTGGCAGAGCATTGGGCTAGTATTCCAAAGGTTGTAGGTTCGAATCCCACTGTGGCCAGGCATATTTTTCAAGCCTGCCCGGCCCGGTGTGGATATACACTCAGAGTAACATCACACAAGCATCTTATTCACCTGAGTACATTACACCAACAGTCCAACACAGCAAATATCATGATTATTAGATTACACTGATATCGAAGGAACTAGACTCAGTTCCAAAGTATTTGCATACTCGAACCGATCTGACTGCATAGCTCAGTTGGCAGAGCATTGGGCTAGTCTTCCAAAGGTTGTAGGTTCCAATTCCACCATGGCCAGGCATATTTTTCAACCCTGCCTGGTGAGTGGTGTGGATATATACACTCAGAGTAATATCACACGAGCAATTTAGAAATATTTCTTCAGAAATCTTGTCTGGATGAATGAAATTTTTCTTCAAAGCTTCGAAGTAAACAGGCATGCAGAAACACACAAACAAAAACACTAGGTTAAATTTTAACCAAGGATTAGCCTTAGCTTAGAACAACCGACCCCTGCTCAACCTACAAATATTAAGGCGCAATATTTAAAGCTTGGTGAACCAAATAGACGACTATATAGACCCAATACTGAAGTAAACATTTCATTTTACAGTCGACAATCAAATGTTGTAGCCATAAACTGTAGCAAAACACTGATAACAGTTTTAAACAGAGTTTTTACTAATATTTCACGACTACATAGCGGATAAATGCAATTTATATTTTATTGACAACCGCCATGTGTTCGAGATCATATTACTATTTCACTAACAAAAGTTTACATACATACAAATTTGCACGCACAAATTATTCCCTGACCCCCAGCGTAAATGCAAATTTAATATATGTCGATTAAAAATTCTTACCTAACAGGAACATTAGGCCCAGATCTTTCAGTTTGGCTCTTGGAGAACCGCAGTTTTGAAAATTCACACGTTGGCAGCATGATGTCGCCAGTAGATTTTATACGGCGCAACCTTTCTTCAGTGATAAATTCATCATATTGTTGCCTCAAGAGCGATAATTCCCCTGAAATATGTTCGCTTAGGTTTGCTTGTTGAAAGATTTCGACGAGCTTCCTAAGAACATCGACTTTTTTTAAAAGCTTCCATCCTGATAGCACCATGTAGCTTGTGATGTATTATTCTTTATCCCGTCAAGTCGACAAGTATCGAACTTTATTGTTGATCATTTGTACTGCGGATTCAGGTTGAGTGTTTAATGACGTCACGATCAGGTGAACGTTCCAACAGATAAACGCGGGTGTTGTCAAGTGGCAAATTATATGTTGCTAAGGGCGGGAAGGCATTTTCTTCTTGTGTTGTTTACACGTGTTCGCATTTGTCAGAGATGGATAACATAATCGAAATTCAGTTTGACTACCTTTATTATTCTAAGCGAAGGGTTACCCCGTTATTTATTAGTACGGATGAGTTATTGTCTTACAGTTACGATGGATTTTGCTCTCGAATGTTACAAGAAGTTCCTCATATTGCGAAGATGCTGCTGCCAGCCGAATCGTTGCGAATGATTTTGGCGGAAGATAATCGACCAGAAATTGACTTGTCTCACAAGTACTTTCAGTCCCAGATAGCACGACTGGTAAATAAAGGACTAAAAACAATCGTCATTCGTATTGCCGAAAATGAGTCACCGCTACCTGCACAGCCAACACAGTCATCGAACAGTACGTGTAAAAGCCAACATTTGACAGGACAATCTCGAAGCAGACGTTGTCTATATGTATCTCAAAACGTCGCACAAAACAACGTTGATAAACAAGGAAACCTAAATATTTTGTCTGTGAATGACAACAGCTATAATCTTGGTTGTAGTACCACTATAAATTCAAGTCCTGAACCACCAGTTTTACCTTTAGAACGACACGTGAAAAGATACGAGGAAATTATTCAAAACATTGACAAAGAATTAACGGTGAAAAAAATTGAACTCAAAGACCTTGATAACAAGCTTGAAAGGGCAAACATGCAAAACACTGGGCATCTTTCAACATGTGGAAATTGCCATTTAAAATTAGGACACACCAGAAAATCATGCCATTTCAGTCCATGCAAATCTGCATTTTCGTGCGGGATACTTTCAAAGCACGCGAATCAAAAATCTAATCGAGCAAACATTAACAAAGACGTAGAAAAACTAGAAAGCCAGTTACGAAAAGCAAAACATGATCTAGAAAGTGCGAAATCGGCCGGGGAAAGAACAAATAACTCTGCAGATAAAAGAATCGAGGACATCATTCTAAATGAACAGCCTCACAGATATAGTACATCTTGTGGGCGCAGAAATTGGCTAATTTTGAACAAGGATGTTGCCCTTTTGCAAAGCAAATTAAAGGGTACTCTCCCAACTCGGAAAAACGTTCTGAGTCTTTTACATTCGGTTGTAAACAAAGAATCACAAATGACACACACGGCTACATCCTCGGCTACATCAACTCAAACACGGCGAGATACTGATCACAGGATGGCCCCCCAAAAGAGAGTTCTTGAAGAACAATTTTCTATCCAATTTCCAACAAAGAGACAAAACAGTGCCGCAAGCAGTAACCCTATATTTGTACATGGTCAAGAAAAAGACGATTTTCGCTTAGCCTTGCAACTACAGCAGGCGGAAATGGAATCAACTACCGAAAACGAAAGTTCGAGCACAGCAGTCGAAGTCTTTCAACATGATATTGATGAAACTCAGGGTGCAACATCTGACGAAGAATACCTACAGATGGAAGCAGAAGCGGCGGCAGCGTTATTACACCTGCAGAAACGAAAGAGCAAAGAGTAAAATTGTATAAAAATATAACGAACTTTATAGTTTTCTTCAAAAGGTAGCTATACACATTTCTATTTTTAGTACAAACTTGTTTATGAAAGTCACTCATTTTGGTATAGCACAAGTTATTATATATTGTCGTTGTTTTAATTTTGTTAGGGTTTGTATAGTTTTGAACTCTGGTTTAGTTGAATACTTATACTATGACACTACAAAAACATTTCTTCAGTATCTAGTTTATACTGTACATATATTTGATATTAATCATAATTTAAATAAGTGAAATATTTGCGGCATATCACAGAAAATGACAACTGTCATTATTTAATATGTGTTTGAGATAAAGTATATACAGCATGCATTGCACTTAAACTTGTAGGTAACCAGTGACTTCAAAAAATCCTTTCATGTCACTTGGGGAAATTAACTCCAGAGAAGTGTACATGTTTTGGATACATTGAGCGACAGTAATGTCAGTGTTATTACCGAAGCTGTATTTCATGACGGTACGCATCTTACCGAACACATATTCCGCAGGGTTAAAGTCCGGAGAATATGCAGGCATGTATACTAGTTCAATCTCCAGGTCGTTCAGAAATTCTTGTAGAATTTGACCGCCTTGGTTATGATGGGTGGCACAGTTGTCCATCACTATAACTGAACCTGGCTCTAAAACAGGTCTTGCAGTTCTTGGGTTTTCTGAATGATAAGCTTCTTCCAAAAATCTAAGAAAATCTATAGTATCTGCACTACCATTTACTGTGTTGGCGTAATCGACCCCTGTCAAAGAACACATAAGATTGACTGTTGTGTTAGGCGTTTCCGCGTATCGTTGAAGTTCAATTGCTCGTTCCCCAATAGGAGCGTGTCCGTAAGTTCGCGAGGCGTGTTGAGGAAGTTTGAGACCACACTCATCGAAAAATTTTAGCGTGTATGGATCCTTCTCATGTAGGTAATCTATGAAAAGCTGTGTGTATGCCATATTTTGTAGCGTAAACCGTTCTTGGGCGACAATATTTAACTTTTTAAAGCTGTACTCTTTACCACTAGGCAGCCGATGTCGAACTGCCTCGGACAATGCTGTCGTTGAAGTTGTACCGTACGGCAAATCGCCAAATTCGTGCAATTGTTGCATGATTTCATCGTATGTAATTGTAGGTTTCTGCTGTTTCAGACATTCAACGTATTGTAGGTCCCCTTGAGAAAGGTGGCTTGGGTTGCCACCTGTATTTTTCTTCGGACTAATGCTACCATCTTCGCAGTAGCGCTTCCAAATATTAGATACAACAGCTGAAGATACCCCTAACTGCCGAGCAATATCAGTGTATTTTCCATGGAAAATGCCTGTTGCACGATTACCCCCATTATTAATGATTTTATTGATAATCAACAATCTCAAGTCATGAGATAAAGGTTTTCCTTGAACATAAAGTCGACCGTGCTCGTTTACGCGCCACATTTTTTTGCTATTGTAACGGTTCTTGTAGATTGTATTTTTTTCCGCGTTTATTTGAATTTAGAGAATTTAGCAGTAGTATTTTTGTTAAAAGTGCTATGTATATATATAATCTTTCAAGTGTTATAAATATTTGTAATGGAAATCGAAAATAAATGCAAAAGTGAAGGTTATAGAGTGCATATGTATTGTAATTTGACAGCTAGCTGAATATAATTTTGTGCATAGCAACATATAATTGCATGCATGGCAACAACTGCGTTCAGTTGTTGTAACGGTCATGACGTCATTAAACACTCAACCTGAATCCGCAGTATTGCGCAATCAAAATAGAGCCACCGTGGCAGACCGTGGCGCACATGACCACAACTAGACTTGCTCCAAGTCTCTCTTTGTGGAGACCCACTATTAGGCCATCAGCCACTCAGCAGATTTTGACTTTTCGTTTCCCCCACACAGAGACAACAATTTGACGGGTGCAAATGTTGCTTAAAAGCTTATAAGGTCGAATAACAAAATGTTGTAATCGATAACACCTGCAGTTTTGCCAAAAATTGGCCTTCAAATTATGTAATTTTTACATTATATGGTCGCCATTTTTTCACGCATTTCGAAGCTGCGGTGTGCTCCTCGCGCATACCACGAAGCAGTGCTTCCATTTGCAATTAAGAAAATTTGCAAGGAAAATTAGGAAATAAAAAGCAAGGAAATAAAATTTAGAAGGAAATGGCAATGAATTTTGTTGTCAGGAAGGGAATAAGAGGGATATATTACGTTATTTCTAATAAATCCTAAGATTACAGCATTTTCCAAGCAAACTCGATTCAGAAAATGTCGAAAATCCTATCCTGTAAAATGGAAAATCCGAAAAAATTTTGAGGGATGACCAACAGCTGAAAAATTTGTTGCGCATGCGCCAGACTTCCATTGAAACTTGAAGATTTCCGTCATTTCCCTGGACTCCCGAAGAAATAAACGAAATGTTCGTGGTTGTTGTATATTTTTCAATATCTGTTTAACCTTTATAATTTTTTTTGCTTAACACAAAGTAGAATATACTCTACGTATCCTGTGTATAGAATATCTCGTTTGAACAGCAATAGAATATTATAATCTTGGCAAAACAAGAAGACATTTGACACGCTGAATCTGCTTTATCTACAGTCATTCCTGGCAATGGTCGCAAGCCTGACAGCTAGCCTTGTCAATCGGGAAACAAGTACAAATTTGAGTTCAAACAGAAAGAAGTCACGATTTTAATACAACTAACATATCTTCTATACAAATACGGCTGTTTTAAAATGTTTTCAATTTGAATTTTCAAACTGCTTTTATCTATCGACATCAGTGGCGTGCTGGCAGGCGGGGGGCACGGCCCCCCCAGCTGGCAATTCTTGGGGGCGCAGAAATGAAAAGGGGGCGCCGATCCCGCGTCGAATTTTGAAAGTGGGTGGGAAAATACGCATTCGAAAAAATATAGTTACTTCTGCCAAGAAAACGACAAAGTGATATATTAAATTACAGACTATTTTGTCTATTAAGCCGTTTTGCTAATTTGCTACTTCACGGCGCACACGAAATCATTTATATAGGAACATGATTAGTGATCAAACGCAATGTCTCATTACCGAAATATTGGTCAGGTTTGGAAGCGATCACGGGAATTATGCCCTTTTTTGCTGCTATTATGCCCTTATATTACGCCCTTTATTATGCTTCACGAGAGCGGCGCAAATTAGATAGTTGAAGCAGTGAACTCTATATTTATATATCTGGAATGATAACATTCAGTCATTTGATTGTGAAAACAATGAAGCCTCGATACCAGTCTTTCACGCGGATTGGACGTCAGTCTCAGTCCCTCAAACGTCAGGTTTACGCGGATTGGACGTCAGTTTCATTCCCCCTCTTGCAAACCGTTGCACGGCCAGTATAAATTTGAACGCAATCACGAAAAAAAAATTAAAAACATGGCCAACTCAATTCAATACATTGTAGGAGCAAACTGTTTTGCTCCTAAAATTTACTGCATTGAATTCGCTGTCGGAAAAAAGTCGAGGAAAACGTCCCCGTCTGGAGAAAACAATCACTTTTTCAAATATATTGTGTCGTACTGTCGTTCCTGGATGCACAAGGAAAGGAGATATTCTTGCGAGAAAATTTCATTTCACAGGTAGGTAAATTGACTTGCAACTGTGACTTTGCCGTTGCCATTTTTCGCGATTGTTTGAATTGTTTTTTAGTTTACCAGTTTTATAGTTTTTAGTCAATACACTGGTACGTTATTTTTTAAAGAATTTATGTGTGATCGGAATTTGCCTGCCAGCAAAATGTATAAAATGAATATGTACGTGTGTTTGAATATAAATTAGACCATATGGGCTTAGTAAAAAATTATTTTAATAACTACGTTTCGGAGTATAACTCCATCTTCAGGTTAAAAGTGAATAAAGATATAAAAACTGTGATAAAAACTTTCAAAACAATTACAAATTTTATATGTAAGTGATTTTTAATACTGTAAGAAAGTTCTTGAACAGTTGATGACGAAGACAATGACGAATACTTATGTCGTGATTTTTTTGTCGGCTTCACTTTTCGCTCGCTGTTATCATTCCAGATATATATATATATAGAGTTCACTGAGTTGAAGTTATCATAATGTAGTGTACACAATTTAGTTGTTTGCGCAAGAAACATCATGAGTAATGTAAGTAATGAAATAATGCTGAAACGCGCCCTATTGGCAGCCAGGCAAGGAAATCTTAAAATGCATATGCGTGGGGTCCGTGTATTATTGTATAAAAGAGCTGTAAGTTGTAAATGTATTCAGATCACTAGATCAGTAGAGAATAGAATTGGGATTAGATTAATTAATCGCTGGAAGTGGTTAGCATTGCATAATTTAAGTACAAATTGCAAATTTCCACACGTTATAATGCTATTTCCTGACCATCAGATTTCTGTCAAATCGTCCCCCAAAGTCCAGGAAATGGCATTTTAGAGACTCTAAATTCAAAAATCTTCCTGGGGGGCATGCCCCCGGACCCCCTAGACAAACCTCGTAGGCCTACCTTCGGCGCTCGGCTCGTGCCTTCGGCCCTCGTTTATCAAGTGTAATATTGTAGGGGCGCATATTGGTTGACAGCCCACTGCCCCCCCAGAAAAATAGTACCCAGCACGCCACTGATCGACATGATAATCAAACTGTGCAAATGCCGGCTTTTGTTGAGGCTTGCGAATGCAAAATAACTTCCCGTAAACCGAGCATTTCAACACCGCAAACTCTCGCTTAGTCTTCTGATGCACTTGTACGTTCGGTTCTACCAGTTAAACAAGGAAAATATTCAAGAAACTCTGGTAAATTATGGTTGTCAAAAAACATTTCAGTGCTGAGGCAGTACAAGGTCACAAGACCAAGGTCAAGTTGTCGATTTCATTACATTTTACAGTGCTTCGTAGCCTGCGAATACAGACTCTATTTATGTCGCTTATTCCACTTGGAGGGGGGGGAGGGGACGCGATAAATAAGTTTTCCCCCAAGTGGAATAAGCGACATAAATGTAGACTGTTTCGCAGGCTAAGTTCTTCGATGTTCTCGAATTCTTGCTTCATACAAGAGCAGTAAACGCACGCATTTCAAAGCGAAATTAGGCGCAAAGGGGCAATTTTTCATCAAAATTTGTTGTTAAATTCTGTTTCGTTAATTAAAACTAAATTTTCAAAACACTAAAAAAGCTAGTAAGAAGATAAAAACCTTACTAATTTGATCTTCATTTTGGACAAATTTTGATTAATGTTAATAAACATGTTTATGGAAACAATCGCTTGACGTCCGCACTGCGCTTAATTCCGTTGAGGCATGCATAAATCTGCCTTCCTTTGAAACGCATGCTGGAACGCCCAATTCAAGGTATTATTACGACGGAAACATTTTACTCCTTTCCCCAGGAGACAGTCTCTCTACAGGAGATTTATTGTCCGAAAAATAAAGTTGCTACAGTTAACTATTTGCAGATCAAACATTGACTAAAAATGCTTACTCAGCATTTTTCCAAAACTTTGGTCAGCAATATTTCAGTAACAATTGACCGTACGTGATTATCGTAATATAGTTTTTTTGTACACATGTGATGCTCTATCTGTCAGTATTTTCAAAGTTTTGAATTTCAAATATTTTTAGTTTTCTCATCTATGGATGACGTCATACATAGATAAAAGCAATTTTCTCGAGACCTGCATGTTTGCCGAAGTACAACATTGGTGTTTTATCATTGAAATGGATCCACTCAACATATAATGAAATCAAAATATGGTCTCCGTGGGGGGGAAACGAAACTTGCTTTCCAGCTTCATTCTCGCGAGTGGCTGATGGCCTACATGGCATGGGATGGATTAAAAGATCATAAAAAATTTGCGGAAATTCCATGGGCATGTATGGCTAAAATTCAATAAAAATCTGCGGAAATTCCACAGGGGAGGCTAAAAATTCGCTTAAAATATCTGGAAATTCCAGGAGAGGGGGGGGGGGACCAAAAATGGATGTCCTCAATAGGGTGCGGATTAATAATGCGACGAGCCAACGTTTGACAGCCGAATTATTTGGCTGGTCAGCAGCTTCCGCCATAACAAAAACAAAATGGAGTAAAAACAACAGACAAATTGACCAGCATAGGCTGCTGATGAAGACTAATCAAGATTTATTTACAAGACTGTGTCTACAATAATCATTAAGATATCGAAAGGGATTAATGCACATATCAACGGCCTGCCCTGGGGGTACACCCCCGGGACTTTGAAAAAACATGATTCTAATGCATTAATTCCCCTCCCTCCCCCGGGAAACGTGTAAGTCAAACTGCCCTCCCCCTGGGGCTTAGAATAAAGTAGTTCATAATATAAATAGCATACAAACAATTAAAAATTCAGGGTGTTAGCTAGCCCATATACTGTCCGTTTGACGGACTCTTCCCAATTGAAGTAGCTATAAGGGGCTTTCCCAACCGAGTCTGCTGGAAGATTTTCATTTTTTCTGATGAGAAAGTGCATTGCATTTGATTTTATATTATTATATCAAAGAACGTTTTATTTACTTTTTCCATTAACTACTCAGAATGTATCGCGTTTCATTCATATTGGGTGTGTATTCACTGAAATTAAATGCACAAAACAAAGTGCCATCGGTGTGCATCCGTGTTCATTCACCGGAAATGAAATAAAAAAAGCTAAGCCACTGTTGTTTGCATCTAAGAAGTAACACGTTGGAAAAAACACTATTTATTCCTACACAAGGACTTTGATCGGTCAAAAAAAGTTTTCCCAATTTACGTTTAACGGGCAAAACCTTTTTTTCTGGCTAACACCCTGAAATTATCATACAAACTGGGGTATCACAATGGCACTCATGTATTCTGTATTTATTTATTCAAATTTTAGCAAGACCACTACAAAATATCATAAATAATAAGTTGGCGATCGATACTTTTCTCCGTGAGCTGCGATTTTGAGTACGGACCAATTGTTCACTTTATTTATAAAATTCAAATTGTCACGTCAAAGTCCCCTACTTCCCCTCCCCCCGTCGTCCTATTATTGCGAAGTTTGTAATTTCCCCGGGGTTCACGGGCAGAATGCACGGCTAAAATACCAAATTCCCCCTCGTTTCCCCCCGGTTGTCCCGGGGGTGTACCCCCCGGGTAGGCCGTTGATATGTGCATAACACTAAAGAATAATGGCAGCTGACGAAAGTCAAATAGTAAGTCTACTGACAATCGGGGTCATTCAATGACAAGGTTGTCGTTCGAGGCATATCTTTGTATTAGTTAATTTAATATTGGAGTACTTTTCTCTTGACTTTTAAAATATAAAACTAATAAATCTTCAAAGTAAATCGATGTTCGATAATTTGTTGACTAACGAACATCTTTACCTGTTGCAAATTTATAACTTGTTTTGTCTATATTCAGCTAGAAAATTTTTATTATTTATACAATACGGTCCATACATAACGGGAAATGCCTGTGTCAGTGCATTTCCCTAAAAGACTTTAGACAACAGCAAAGGTCAAACGAATGTTATCACTGTTCTAGGTCAAAATAATAAGTAAAATCTCGGTCTTTGAAAGCAGAGTTTACAGTAAACGGTGAACATTCTTATTTGATCTAAACTACCGAAAGTCGAAAATGTTGATTATTTGTTGGCCTGTAGTACTCCCAGAATTTACAGGCCGCAATATTTAATTTTACATTATGTAAGACCAACCTTTAATCTCACCATACAAATAATATTACATTCATGGCAAGTCTAACTTTTGAATTTTAGGGGTTTTATTTCAACAATTTTTAAGGAACTTGGAAATCTCTATTTTAGTCTGTCATGAATGATGTCATTTCTATATGTAGAAAACATATTTGAAAAATTTGTAGGTATATTTTTACTTAAGACATATAAAGCTACTATTGTGTGGAAGGATTTAGTTTTATCATTATTTTTGTTTGATGTAGAGAGCTTTAAAAATCAGTAAAAATCCATTATTGAGAAACAGCAAAAATTATAATTTTAGCCCTCAACTTGCCCCTCCCCCCCTGGAACTTTGCCAAAATGCAGTTAGACTGAAAACAAGATGCATTTTGAAGCAACCCTTATAAAGGCAATCTCAAGTACCAAGTTTGAGAGAAATCTATTTCTTGATCCAAAGAGGTCATGCGGTTCTTACAGAGACTGCCTCTTTTAAAAGTCGGCAGTTCCAAAAGTCATCGATTCCAATCAGTACGGTGTTGTATCTAAGTCATCCACTACATTGGCCTTGATCTCGATTATGCATAAATGGCTGCTAGCCACGGACGAACCAGGTAACGCGATTCGCACAGTGCTATTCGACTTTCGACAGGCGTTTGATCTTCTTGACCACAACCGTTTGATAACGACATTAAAATCTTTCGATCTTCCGTCTTCAACTATCAATTGGATTATTGATTTTCTAATTGACCGAAAACAACTGGTAAAGGTAACATCTAACTGTTATCCTGAATGGCGTCAAGTGCGCTCAGGTGTGCCGCAGGGGACCATGGCCAGAAATTCAGGACAGCATGGCGATTGGCATACGCAATGTACTTCCTCATTCATTAGTCAAGATGGCTGATTTATATATAGATTAAGTATTGCAAATATATGTTTTAGCAATTTCCAGCTTTTTTCGTACATAAATCCGAGCTCTGCACGTCGAAAACATTATTTAATTTCTCGATCCTTTAACCGAATAAATTTCAGAACAGTTCAAGTAGGACAAACCAGTTCCCGAGAACTATATTCCTACCTTATCTCATCACATATACCAGATAGTTAATTCTCCCAAAATTCGCAAAATGCACATTTTTGGACAGCATTTTAGGACAGCATTTTAGGACATTCGTGGGCAGTACATGGAGCTTCTGCACGTCTGCATTGATAAAAGATGAGTTTATCTTTGTTCTCCAACAGTTTACAAACCGTAGAGGATGGATAAACAGGTTCCAAAAAGCCACAAAATATATGCTTTTTAGCAAACAGAAAATTATTGTGTAGCTCAAGTAAGTATTTAAACGGCTTATTGTTGTATTGTGCGTATAAAATTTGCATACGAATACAATGTCGGATACATGCCCGACTGCATTCTATTCTTTCTTGAAATGGAAATTTGGTGAATATGAGCCCGCGCGTCTTTCCGCTGACTGTCCTGAATTTCTGGCCATGCAAAACTGTGTCCTTGGCTGTATATATTAATGATCTAACAACAACCCGTACAAAACTTTGGAAATATGTTGATGACACTACTCTATCTAAAATCATCCATAAAGGAAAGCGAAGTTCAATTCAGGAACCCGTTGACGAAGTTCAAGATGGACACGCTCGAATTTGGCCGAACTCAATGAGGATAAATGTAAAGAGCTCAGAATTGATTTTTCGCGGAAGCAAACTCAAACAAATCATCTCAACCCCATCCGAGTCAACGGCAAAGGGATTGAGGTCGTAAACCACGCGAAAATACTTGGTCTTACAGTCAGCAGTGACTGCAAGTGGAAAATGTACGTTGATAGCATATCATCCAAGGCCAGCAAGCGACTATATCTAATCACACAGTTAAAGAGAGCTCGAGTTCCTGCAAATGAAATTATTCAAATATATTGTTCATGCATTCGCCCGTTACTGGAATACGCCTCACCTGTCTTTCATAATTCCTTACCGCAATATTTAAATTTGGAAATTGAAAGAGTTCAAAAACGATGTATTAAAAGAATATTTCCTGGCGTTTCATACGAAGAAGGCCTTAAATTAGCTAATCTAGAAATCCTGTGCGATCGCCGATCGGAAGCGTGCAAAAAGCTATTTTTCCAAGCCTACTCTGATACTAGTTATAAACTACACAACCTGATTCCAAAGGAGAACTCATGCCAATATTCCCTAAGAAGAAGTCGCTCGACCTGTTTACAAAAGGCCTAGTAGAAGCAGGGGTTAATAAAGATTTAATTAAAAATGAGTATTTATTGTCAGAAATGGCAAAGGAGGAATATGAAATGCCGCAATCTGACAGTGATGGTGAAAGCGAATCTGGCGAAGAGGATAGGAAATCTGATAAGAGTGATAATGAAAGCGAATATTATGATGATGATGATGGTGATGATAAGGAGGATGATAATGATGATGATAATGAAGATGATGATCAGTCAGAGACACTAGCTTGCAACCATTGTGGAAAAGAGACTGGTCACATTGTATACTTAATGAAGTGTCCAAGATGTTCATGGTAAGATTTCTACTGGGGCAAAATGCTCAATGTATGATATGTGATGAACGGTCGCCTCTACTGTTTTCGCATGTCATTGGTTTCTGCGAGTTATGGTCGTATGGTACGTCTAACAGCAAGGTGGGTGAAATGGAGTTCACACCAAAAATGGACAAATTGGGTCGACCCAGCAGATTGGACCGAACGTGACCTAGCACGAATGACTCCGGAAGCAAGAGAGGATTATGAACATTTTATATTGAGTGACAGCCGAAATATATTCCAATGAAGCCGGAGAAACTTACAAAGTTATCCCCAGAAGATAAACAACAATATGAGAACTCTTTTAAAATAACACCTAGACGTTACGCTCTTAGAAGTAGACCGTACTAAATTTTGTAAAACGTTTTGAGGAAATAAATGTATTTTAAAACTGAAATCTTGTGTAAATCTTTGCCCGCAAAGCCACGCGCCCGATTTTAAGGCATACCCCTGCGTTATAAATAATCCCTATCTATCCATTGGGATACACTTAGTTATGCAAATTCTTATTGCCTTAATCCCTTAAATACCTACACAACTCCTAATGATTTGGCAACACATAGCAACGAATATAACAACCGCATATTTGATAAAAAATATATTTATTTTTATGGCAAAATATATTACAACCATTCTAATTCTAATTTCTATTCTTGATAAGCTTTCTTATGATCATCTTAACAGTATATATGTATGTAGGAGGATTGCTAAATAATGTTGAACAACATGCAAATATTGATCATAGCAACGACGTTGACAACTCAGGATTAGCAACTGTTTAGTTTAAAATATGTCTCAATTTTTGTGACGAATAGATTCCTCGCTATGGAAGATACGAAAAATCTTTCAACATACCTGTGGAAATTTATCTCTTCCGAGCAAAGATACGGCTATAACTCTGCTATATATTAATTTCGAAAACAATTTTGCCATGTGAGGGACTCGAACTATTCATAATCCCTCTATTGTATCAAACACGCGGAGGGACGCTAAAAAATGTCAAGTCAGCAAGTCTTGCCCGTTCTTGTTTAAGCTTACTATTTATCCCCCTCACTCTTCCGCCACCTCACACCTCCTCAATCCTCCTCCTCACTCCTCCTCCTCCTCACTCCTCCACACTCCTTCACACTCCTCCACACTCCTCCTCACTCCTCCTCACTCTTCCTCACTCCTCCTCACTCCTCTTCACTCCTCCTCACTCCTCCTCACTACTTATCAAAAATAAGGGTCGAACGGAACCTATATTACTACTCATGGCGTTACTGACAGGGTGAATGGTTACTACATATGAACCTCTAGGAAGAACACTTCAGAACATTATTGAACTCGTAGAGCTACCCAATATCATTAAAGTCAGTTTAGTTTAGTTTAGATTTAATTCTACTGTAGCTCTGGGTTACATAAAACATGGGCTTCGCTAAACCTCTAGCAAGAACATTTAGAACTGATAGAGCTATCTAGTATAAGTAAAGTTATATTTTAATAATTTCAGGTTTTCCTCCAGGTTTTTATAATTGTCTGTCCACTGTCATAATTTTGTTGTCAAGCAGGTTTATCGTCTCGTAATACTTTGCTTGGGGCGAAAATCACACCCTGTGTAATCGTAAATAAATCATAATATTTTTATTATAACAGGAGCAAGATTACGAAATTGTAACGAGAATTAATAAAGAGTTTAATGATGACGCCGTCACAAATGCAAACGAGTCTGGTGGCACTTCAGCTGAAGGTGAGTAATATAATATATGCATGCTCATTATAAGAAGAAATGTAATGTATATTCTTGGGTTTTATATAACGTCACAATATGACGGGTGGTCAACTCAGTTTTATATGAAGTCACAGAAGAGACGGTGGGTCAACTTTAAAACAAAACACAGTTATGAGAGTAAGTCGATTGTTAGTTTTATGTATTAGCCTTGTTTTCGGTGCAAATACATGGAATTGCGGATCATTTTCACCCTCCAGTACAGCATAAGCGTCAATACATTCGAGGGTGACCCCGTCAGCTTCACTTCCCGTCAGGCTCTATTTTACAAATACAGGCTGACACAAACCTTAATGCGAAACTGGAGAACCAAGTAAAGTAAAAGTTGAGAAAAGATCAGGGAGTTGGAAACTCTCGCTTCCTTTGACAACCAAATCTCACAGACTCTCGTGAACTCTCATCAACTCTTATTCACTTTCACCTGGTTCAAATTTTAAGTGCTGTTCGTGAGAAATTCTACTACGCTTGTTAAAATTATGTCAACTCTGGCAAATGTTTAACTGGTTCACATTTTGAAGAAAATTGACGAGAGTTCAGGCTACGTGCTGAAATATCCATTCAACTGTCATGCAATTATTGTTCTTACTGCAGAAACTAACTGGCCTGCTCTCCTCAACTTTCTTGCTTGTTTGATTAGATTTAATTAATAATCTTTCTTTTGAAAAGGCGGGACATCACATTACGAAGAGGTAGAAGGACAATCAAGTTATGAAACGCCGGCCCAAAATGTAACCTATCCAGAAACAAAAACGTCGCATAAAAATGCTGGTTATACGGTGTTTGATGTGAACAGACTGCGAGACAGAAATACAAGGGATGATGATACTTATCAAAAACTAGTAAAACCGACCTCAAGTTACGTTATGCCACAGGATGACAGAACAAAGCCGTGCGAGAACATGAAAATGGAAATAAGTTTACCAGACTTCACGGAGCTAGATCAAAGCAGACGAGATGCTGAAAATTATTCTGCTTACCAAACGTTGCTAAAAACGGAATTGTGCATACGAAGGAAATTGCTTTAAGAATTAAGTTTATATTATTGGAAAAAAGAGATTTGTTTTAGCGAATATGACTAGAAAAGCCGTGTAATCCGTTATCTTGTTTATATTTTCTACGCAATTAACTGCAGTTTTGGTGACATCATAACCATCGCAAAATTCGTTTTCGCCTTTTTTTCAAACGTAATCTCCACTAAAACCGAGCAAAATCGAGAATACGTGGCACATGAGGAAAAATAAAAAATCTTCTTATTTTTTCCAGTGATACTCTAATGTGTACTCAGAAACGTGGTGGGTTTTTTTTCTGAAATATTATTTTAAAAGCCGAAAATTATCAAAACCTCACACATACCCGAGATTTGCGAAATTAGCAAAAAGAATTGTGAGCTACGGTCTCTCGAAAATTTCGTTTTTCTTATTTGGCGTGTGATGAAGCCTCACCTTTCGTTTTTAAACGTATTTATAAGATGTTTGTAAAGAACGTGGGTCCAATTTGCAATTTTTCAAATGATTTTTCAATGTCAGAACAAGCGTGTAAAAATCGTCTTTTTTTGCGATCCAAAAAATTTTAAATTGTTACACTTTTTGAAAATTAATTTTCCGTATCCGGAAAAAATCCAATTTCCTTGACATTTACAGAATTTAAAGAGAAACTGTTGCTCTAAAACCGAATGTAAAAATTATTTTGGAGCTTTTTGTTACCGCGGAATTATACTGACTATAATATCGAGAAAAGCACAAAAAAAACCTTAAAATCCTCAGACAATTAGGCACCTTGCTTCAACTATAGACAGTCGAACCTTAATCATTCTTGCTTGTTTTCTCTTGTTATTGATAGGAAATATAAGACGCAGATAATTTTAAACTAGTTTGCCTATTTCTAGATAAAAATACGCTGTTAAACTCTCCAAGACTAAGATTTCTGCTTCAAATTCTTGTTAATTTCAATTGATCGATCCATGCGCGCCAATTAAAATAAACTAGAAACACTTGTACACTCGCTAGATTGAAGGCTATATATACTTACTATAAACAGTCAATTACTTATATTTGAGCATGTTGTGCTCTAAGCAGTTCAGTTTAAGCGTCAAACTTCGGCCTTATTTTCATTGAAGCCGGGCAAGTTCAGTCGTTTAATTAAAGGGACAGGGCCGTTCCTAGCGTGATAATTGGGTGTGTAAGTTCATATATTCGTCTTCTGCCCGACGGATTTCTTTTGAAAGCGATTGTTTTTACGGTAGCGAGCATGGATGAATATATGAATATACCCCCTCCCCCCATTATCGCGTCTAGGAACGGCCCTGTTGAGGGATATGATCGGAAATAGCATGAATATAGAAATGAGATTCCCTTATCTGAAAGAACTTTTAAAATGACGTGGAAAACATTTTAAAGCTTTTTTTTTAAATCTCGCTTATTTCTCGACCTTAAGAAAAGTTTCTGTTGTGATGGAGCTAAACTGTGAAACTGATTACCTAAATGCAATTGACGCTTATAACGAGGGTCGAGGGTCGTACGTCGAGGTCGAGGGTCGAAAATAGTAAATTTTTATCCATTTCAAAAGTTTTACAACCATTTTGAAAGCTCCCAAAAGCGGCTAAACAATTAGTTTTGCTCTCAAAACTGAAAAATTTTGCCTACGGCTATAATCGTTGAAGAACTATAAGTCTGATGCGAGGTTTGATGTTTGAAAGTATACGTATTTTAATATACATCGGAATTTAAAATATACAAACATGGGCGATGATCAGAGGCGATGATACAAAATTTGCGTTTCGCCAGTGCCGTAGCTAACTCGATAATTGGGGGTGGGGGTGGGGTGGGGGCAGATATTCATATATTCGTGTTCACAGACCATAAAAACAATCGATTTCAAAAGAAATTAATAACGCAGAACACGAATATATGAATATCTGCCCCCCCCCCCAATTATCGAGCTAGCTACGGCACTGCGTTTCGCTCTCATGAGAAATTTGATTATAACAGGCTGTTTATATGTCCCCGCTTACCCGGGATTCAATGAAGTGTAACGTATTTTGATCGAGCAATTGAAATACGTGTTTCAGCCCTAAACCGAAAGTTAGATAATTTTAAATATTTTTTTAAACGAAATTAGGAATGCGCTTGAAGTTATGTAGTGAAAGAAGACGATTAATAGCATTCAACAACATTTGGTTTTTTGTTTAAGACATGGAATTTCATACAATTTGTAACGAGCAATTTTGTTATATCATGAAGTGCGACTAATTTACATTGCTCAAAATACGAACGTCACACTTCATTAAATCCCAGGACCCGGGGAAGCGGGACCATGGCCCCGACTTAATCAGCATGGCGGCGACGTACAGAGTTCTGAAATTGCTCAGAACTTCAACTTAACGATACTCCCTATAGGGTATGACATCGTGTTTACAAGTCTGATATGTTGGATAAGTTGCAGAAAAGTATGGGTAATATCTTCATTTTTTGCAGTTTGTCATGGATAATGTAGCTGCTTAAAATTAATCAATTGTCAGTATTTTAAGGGTATATTATTTAAGTGATAAATAAAGGTCCGCATGATTTTGAAAAAAGAATGATTATTAGCAAATTGGTTTCTTAAAAGGGCAAGTCGCTTACATGCAGTTACTGTATTGTGCATATAACAAAGTAAATTCAGCGTATGTTCTATACATCAGGTTTGATATTACTTTATAATTTCTGTGTATTCGGAAGTTTATTTATACAAACTGTCAAACACGTCACTAATTACATTGACATTGTCATTGTAGTCACATCGCGAGTTTGATAAAATCTAGCCCTAATCTCAATAATTTATGCGACTACTTCAGAGAAAACTAAGCACATATATTTCAGTTTAAAAAAAGTAGATAATACGGATTGATTTTACGAGCTATTGAGACTTTGAGTAGTGGATTTAAGCAGGCTATCAATAACTGATCTTTTGTCTATTAATTATTATGTGTCAAGTGACGCGCACGGAGCTTTTGCAACATGATGTTCATATTGGCTACTTATTTCTCTAAAATCCCGACAAACAAGCAAAATTTAAAATAATTTATAATTTATCTGTCAAAACCAAATAACAAGAGAAAACAAGTATAAATCCTCACGTTTCGACAGTCTATCTGAGCAGACTGTGTCTAGACGTACTGCCGGCCTGTCTATAAGCGTCTGTCTACATAATCGGCTGTATATTATAGACATTATAATTTCGTGATAACAAAACACCCCATAATATTTTTACACCAGATTTGAGAGCAACATTTGCTCATACATTTGTCTAAATTTGAAGGAAATCGGAGTTTTACTGAAAAGGGAAAATGATTTTCAAAAAATGTACCAAACTTAAAATTTTTTAACTTAAGGTTTTTCTTGTGATTTTCCCGATATTATAGTCCGTATAATTCCGCGGTAACAAAAAGCCCCAAAATAATTTTTACATCAGCATTTAGAGCAACAATTTCTCTCTAAATTCCCTAAATTTCAAGGAAATTGGAGTTTTCCCGGATACGGAAAATTAATTTTCAAAAAGTGTACCAATTTAGAATTTTTTGGATTGCAAAATAAGGCGATTTTTACACGCTTGCCTTGACTTTGAAACATCATTTAAAAGATTGCAAAATAGACTATCGTTGTTTATAAACGTCTTATATACACGTTTAAAAACCGAAAGTGAGGTTTCCTGAAGACGCGAGCTGAGCAAAACGAAGTTTTCGAGAGGCTATGACTCACTATGTTTTTAACTAATTTCACGAATCTTGGGTACATGTCAGGTTTTGATAATTTTCGGCGTTTAAAATAATATTTCAGAAAACAAACTCCATCACGTTTCTAAGTATACATTAGTGTATCACTGGACAAAATAAGAAAACATTTCATTTTTCATCATGTGCCACCAGTTGCTCGGTGATAGTGGAGATTCCCTCTTAAATACCCAGTTTACATAACACTTCACGAAACTTAGAAACCTTGGAAATTACAACATAGCGATCACCCGTGCATATTTCATGTTAATGTTCCCAAGTAATCAATTGAATAGAGAATAATACATGGGTGCACGAAAATACCAGATTTGTTTCGAGTGTTGAGCACGATATCTCAAGAGTGAGCGCAGCGAACGAGTAAAACATCGTGTTCAACATGCACGAGAAACAAATCTGGTATTTCCAAACATCCATGTATTCTTCTGTTTATTGTATAAAGAAAAATCTTTGAAAAGCAATACGGTTATTTTTACAGAAACGCGATAATTGAAAAACAATAATTTTCACATGTAAATTGATCATAAATAATTTCACATGTGACATTATCCGTTTTATCAGTGCTTGAAGTGATATATGAACAACGAGAGCAAGTGTTTCACCGAGATATCCAAACGCTAGGAAACAATGTATGAAAACACGAACGCGAAGCGCGAGTGTTTTCATACATTGTATTCGAGTGTTTGGATATCCCGGTGGGAGATGGGCTTGGGTTGTTTATATGGCTTCTCAAATGAATCGAGACGTAACAAAATGTTTTCGTTTGCTGATTTCAATAGAATTCTTAACCAACCATAACGTAATTAGGAATTCTATTCAAGTAATTTGGCATGGCATTGCGTAATTAAGATATTTGATAAAAACACTAGTGACTTTCATCAAGTTTCACCACGGGCAATAGGACAGGTGTAGCGTTGTTAATTAAATTTCAATAGAATTTTAACCAAGCATAACGTAATTAGGAATGGACAACTTGCATGTTAGACTAAATTTTAATCTAAGCATAGAAAAGGGAATCAAACACCACAGCTAAAAAGAACATACTGAAAATAGTAAAAGTGCAAAATTTGGTTGCGAAATGTTGTAAAGCTTGGAAATTATAGCCTTGCAAAGTTTGCATATTTTCAGTATATTTGTATTACGAGCGGAAATTGTTACCATTTTCGGCTCAAAAATGGTAACAATTTCCGCACGTAATACAAATATACTGAAAATATGCTAACTTTGCAAGGCTATATTTTCCAAGCCTTACAACATTTCGCAACCAAATTTTGCAAGTTTACTAATTTTAATAAGTTCTTAACGAGAATTTACTTTTTTTTGCCTAGATCGGTTAGATAAAAAATTTGTCTAACATGCAAGTTGTCTATTCTATTCAAGTAATTTGGCATGGCATTGCGTAATTAAGATATTTGATAAAAACAATAGTGACTTTCATCAAGTTTCACCACGGGCAATAGGACAGGTGTAGTGTTGTTAATTAAATAGAAAGTTAGAAATGGTATTATACTTACTCATGCATTATAATTATGTTTAAAAGATCAGAATATTCATAACTTCTTATTTTGTTTCATAAATAGTTCTTTAATATTCGAAACAAATTCCATATCTGCTTCGTCTGCCATCGCCATGTTTACTCGTCCCAATCTACCTGCTGCACGGCATTGCCGCCCCTCCTGGAAAAATAATAAGCAAGTGAGAAAAATTAAAGAGAAAATAAGAGGGTAGGGACATTGTGGGCGTTTCGTGGGCGTGTCATCGTTCTGGGCGAATCGGCTTGCGCAATCTTGTATCACATGACTAATTCAAATCGTCATAGGCGGGAAGCAGCATTACGTCATCCCTACGCCAAAGAAAACGTTATAAAACGCGTCGAGGATACGTTTGTGCCATATATGGAAGTTATGGATACGTTTGTGCCATATATGGAAGTGTCACTGCATCCAGCTTATGACAACGATGTTCCTACCCTCTTATTTCTCCTTAATTTTTCTCGCTTGCTTATTATTTTGCCAGGAGGGGCGGCAATGCCGTGCAGCATGTAGATTGGGACGAGTAAACATGGCGATGGCAGACGAAGCAGATATGGAATTTGTTTCGAATATTAAAGAAGTATTTATGAAACAAAATAAGAAGTTATAAATATTCTGATCTTTTAAACATAATTATAATACATGAGTAAGTACAATACCATTTCTAACTTTCTATTTAACAACACTACACCTGTCTTATTGCCCGTGGTTTCACTGGGTCATCCAAATGGCATCTTGTGATCAAATAGGTAATTATCATTGGCTGAATTGCTCATGAATTATTAATAAATTTGAGAAATATTTATAAAGCACTACACTTCATAGTATAAAACTACTTAATAAATTTTGTAAGAAAATGTAGAGCAAGGTAACACCGAGGAACAAAAGTAAGTTAAGAAGTAAGTTCTGAAATGCAATAAAATAAGTTTTAAGAAGAAAAAGTTAGAACGTAGTAATAATTATGCAATTTCCCAAATCAGTTTTAAGGTCAAAGGTGGGTGATGACATTAAAAATTGTTCTAGCCTTGCAATACCATGTTTAAGAAAAAGATTCGAAAAATAAAAATAGATAATCAGTTGAAAAATAAACAAAACTAATGTGTTAGAAATCGAACTGAGAAAATTAGGAATAAAAAGTTTCTTCTATTTGTTTAATATATCTCAATGCTGTTTGTGGTGTTACTATGAGTGTACATCCACACCGGGCGAGCTTGAAAAATATGCCCGGCCACGGTGGGAATCGAACCTACGACCTTTAGAATACTAGCCCAATGCTCTGCCAACTGAGCTACGCGGTCAGGACGGTTCGAGTAAGTGATATTTCGGAACAGAATAATAAAAACAATATTAAAAAAATCATATCTCAATGCATTAAAACATGTATTCTCAGTCTACCATACTTTGTATAAAAGCTAGATACTACACTTAATTTAATTAAAAATAGGTACGCAGTGCGTACATGTTGCATGCCATCTGAAACTTCGCTATAGCGCTTACATAAACCTTTGGTACAATTTTACTGGCGTGAAACATAAAATATTGATCATTCAATAAGTTTGAAATATCAGTATATTTATTTTAAAAAAAACCTATTAGGGACCGGTCATAAAGTAATTACTAGAAGGGGGTGGAGGATAAATGAAATTTCAAGTACATATTTCCATACCCACCCAAAAATCTATGGAAAAATTTTCGTAACCCCCTTCAATGTAAGTGAAAATTTTCATACCCCCCCCCCCTTTTCTATCAATAATTCTGTTTTAAATTTTGTCTTGCGTTTATCTATATTTCAAAACTCTCCAGTTTGTGATAGCTCTCCCACTTCTTGTAGTGGTAACCATATATCTTCACTCAACATTTTCCGCAGTGTCCAATTCGTCACCAGTCTTTTCTGTTTCTGATTCTGACATACTAACGATGGGTTGAGAGTAAGAAAAAACAGAAAAATTTATTTTTGGTTTCAATTTCGTACTCAGAGCCATCGTTGAGCTCTGGGAACGAGATTGGGTTTATTTCAAACAGAAAAAAATTGGTTCCATTCAACGTGACACTTCCTTGTCGTTCTAATGGTGCGACCTTGCTAGCATTGACAATTCAGATGTATCAGATTTGCACTCCAAGCGTTCCACGGACACTGAATCCTACTGGACATCTGACATTAGTAAAACAATTCTTTCCAAACTTAAATTTGGGCATAAATACATTCAATATTCAACAATAATTATAAAATGTAATTTTTTTCCGTACCCATAGTACTAAGATTTTGGTACCCCCTAGAGGTGCTGTTGTTTTTTTCGTACCTTCTCAGAGGTTCTGTGGTTTTTTCGTACTCTCCAAAAATATCCTCCAAACCCCCTAGTAAATACTTAATGACCGGTCCCTTATGTTAAAATAAGAAAACTTAAGATTCTCACGCGAATTAGCCTACGGTGTAGATCCCAGCAGAAACACACGAATAGGCAATGTTTTTATAAGCGACCGTTAGGGAGCATTTATTTTTTAGCTGGGGGGGGGGGTGGGCCGGAGGAATTTGGGGGTGGGTCAGCCAATTTTGACATGCTTCAAAGGGGTGGGTCTTTTTATAGTTTTGGTATAAATGGAGAGGGTCATAAAAATAATCAGTGAAAAAATCACGAATATGATTTTATTGAATTTGGAAATATTTGGATCAAGAATGGTAAAAAGGTCCAGAATCTATCAACTATCTCGTCATCTATAACAGTGAAGCAAAACATTTCCATGACGTTCGTCAATTGACTTCGTTTTTATCCGTTTTTGTGTGAAAACATGAATGAAAGAAAACGCAGGACCGTAGCATGATTTCAAAATCATGCATGATTTTCAGGTCTGCATGATTTCAAAATCATGCAGACCTTGATCAATTTTAAGCTTTATTAATTTTAAGCGGCTACATTATCCATGACAAACTGCAAAGAATGAAGACAGTACCCACAGTTTCCTGCAACTTATCCTAGTTATCCAATATATAGTAAATTAAATACGCCTTTGCCCATTTAGTACTACCAAATTGTCAATTTCGGCATACTAAAACGCTGTTTGCTGACCATCAGAATTCTGTCAAATCTTCCCCCCAAAGGCCAGGAAATGGCATTTCAGAGACTCTAGATTTAAAAATTTCCTCGGGCCTTCAGCCCTCGCTTTCAGTCCCCCAATCAAAAAGAGCTTCCTACGGCCCTGAAACGCTATGGAAACGACACCGTGTGGATTAATAGTCAAGGTTTTATCGAAAGCAATTGACTGTTAGATTTCCTCCACTGTTAGATTTCCGGCCACGGTGGGATTCGAACCTACGACCTTTGGAATACTAGCCCAATGCTCTTCCAACTGAGCTACGCGGTCAGAACGGTTCGAGTAAGTGATATTTTGGAATAGTATCTAGTTCCTTCAATACCAATGTGTTCTAGTAATATGAATTTTTAGTAATATGAAATTCATATTACTAGAACACATTGGTATTGAAGGAACTAGATACTGTTCCGAAATATCACTTACTCGAACCGTTCTGACCGCATTAGGGCTAGTATTCCAAAGGTCGTAGGTTCGAATCCCACCGTGGCCGGGCATAATTTTCAAGCTCGCCCGGTGTGGATATGCAGTCAGAGTAACAACGCAAACATATTATTCACCTGAGTACACAACACCAACACAGAAAAAATAAATAACGTTATTTCCTTTAGATTTAGCTTTATTGTAGCTTTTTAAAGGTATAAAAAACCCGTGGAAACGGAGAATTACTATAATAGATTGAAAATTATTATTATTTATCATTTTGACGTTTGAGTGATTGAAATGAGTTCATTTACACTATATCGAATGTCATGTTGAATGTCAGGCTGAATCTTATGCGTACTTCACAATGGTTGCTATTTCGTTGTATTAAATTTCAATAGTATGTACAAATCCTCGATTATCAACACATTTAAAATTCACCCAGTCTGCATTCAGGGGCCCTTCCGCCACAGATCTGTGGCGGGCAGCAAGGGCTGAATGACCCCGCCAAGGAACATTTGGCGGGCATCACAGCATCTAAGCTGTGCTTGGCGGGGAAACAAGCGTAACAAGAGGAATTTTCCCGATTAAGAAATGGTGTACAACAATTGTTGTCAACAAGCAAGTAAAATTTCTTCTTTATTCTGTAATTGAACCGACAAAGCATAACAAACAGAAACACCATCTGTTTGGAATTAAAACCGTATATATTCGCGATTCCCGGCCCCCGGGTATACTTGTCGTAAGATCTCGTTCCCAGTCCCCACAGAGCCCTATTAGCGTTCGCTCCGAGACCGAGGCCATAAACATGTGCTAAGAGTCGCTAGGCGCTGGCAAAACTAATCTTTATGGTAAGTCAACCGATCATCTCATTTACAATTTTCTGATGAACAGGCAACAACGGGTGAAACTTGCAAGAGACTGTATGTCTGAATGGATTGACATTCCTTCCGGTGTCCCTCAAGGAACCAAATTGGGACCTTGGTTATTCATCCTAATGATAAATG